CCCCGCGAGACAAAGAGAAAAGCCTCCGTGGACGGCCGTGTCCAGTGCTGGTTTATTGGTGACGTCAACAAGTTTTCTCGAACCCTTCCACCGCAGTCGTCGTCATGTCGAACACGATGGTCGTCGTGTCGAACACGATGGTCGTCGTGTTGAATATGATCGTCATCGTGTCCGACACGCTGGTCGTCGTGTCAAACACGATCGTCGTCGTGCTCGACACTGTCGTCGTCGTGTCGAACACGATCCTCGTCGTGTCGAACACGATCGTCGCCGTGTCGAACACGATCGTTGTCGGGTCGAACACTATCGCCATTGTGTCGAACACGGACGTCGTCGTGTCGAAACACGCTCGTCGTCATGTCCGGCTCATTGAACACGATCGTCGTCGTGTCGTGCACGGCCGTCGTCGTGTCGAACACGACCGACGTCGTGTCGAAAACGGCCGTCGTTGTGTCGAACACGACCGCCATCGTATTGAGCACGGCCGTCGTCGTGTCCGACACGACGGTCGTCGGGTCCGCCTCGATGGTCGTCGGGTCCGCCACGATGGTCGTCGGGTCGGACACGATGGCCGTCGTGACGAGTACGGTGGTCATCGTGTCCGCCACGGTCGTCATCGATACGATCGTCGTCGTGTCCAACACGATCGCCGTCCTGACGAGTACGGTGGTCGTCGTGTCGAACACGACGGTCGGTCGAGTCCTGACACCGTTGTCGTGTCGAACACGATGGTCGTCGAGTCCTGACGCCGATCGTGTCGAACACGATCGTCATTGCCACGATCCCCGTCTTGACGAGTACAGTGGTTGACGTGTCGAACACGATGGTCGTCGAGTCGGATATGACCGTCATCGTGTCCAACACGTTTGCCGTCCAGTCGAGGGACCTAGTGTGGATGACCATCGTCGTGCCGAGATCGGTCGTCGATCATGACCATCGCCGTGCCGAGAGCGGTCGTCGGTCACGACTGTCGGGCGTGGTCGTCGTGTCGAACACGATCGTCGTCTTGGGCACGATCGTGGTCGTGTCGGCCACGATGTTCGTCGTCGTGTCGAAGGCGATCTTGGTCGTGTCGAATACCATCACGGTCGTGTCGAACACCCTGCTCTGTTTCGCCATGACCCCCACCTTCGTTTCGACTTGCACAGAGTTTAGTGCAAGTTG